GGGGGGGGGGGGGGGGGAGAGAGGCAGACGGGCAGAGAGAGTGAGAGAGACGGAGGGGGGAGGGTGAGGCAGACACGCTGACAAACAGGGGGAGAGACGAAACAGAGACAGACAGACAGACAGACAGACAGAAGACAGAGACGGAGGGAGGAAGGGAGAAACGGAAAAAGGCAAGAGACAGGGACATTTTGTGTTTGTACGAGCCAATGATTCGGCCGCTCTTTATCCAAGCCAGTGTTGTATGTGCGTTTTGTGGTGTTGTTGGTCGACACCGCTTCCGTTCGTTCATCCGCTCATCTTTCACCTATCCATCGGCAGTCCGAATCGCGCCCCTCCCACGGCCCGACTCAACATCCTTCCCTGGGTTCCCACCGTGAAACTTCCTCCACACGGTAACACAATACCTGCCCCATCCCTAGAGTTCCACGTTTAGACTCCTGCCACGCGGCAATATTCGCGGTACTGCCCCATCCGTAGATAGTCCCACGGTACAGCCCCCTCTCCTCGGCGGTGTCATTCCCATATATTCCCATATTCCTTTCCGCAATTGATGAAATACGCACTGGTTGTATTGCGCCATCCGTAAATTCCCACGGTAAAACTCCCCCTCTCTACGACGGTGTTATTCCCGCACTGCCCCATTCCATTCCGCGACTGATAAAAAATAAAAACGCGTGCTGGTGGGTGTTGTCGTGGTCTCGTAGTCGGGCGACGTGTACATCCTGGACGTCATGTCCGAGGTGTTCGTGTGGGTGGGCAGGGGCTCCTCGGTGGAGGAGAAGAAAAGCGGCATGCCCTACGCGGCTAAGTTTATCGAGGAGAACGGCCGGGACGTGGCGATGCCGGTGTCCCGCCTGGCGCAGGGCTACGAGACGACTAACTTCAAGGGGTGAGATGAGATTATTGCTCCTCGTGGCGTTACCTACCGTTGGTGACATGATGTACGATATCACACCTCCTGGGACCGAGCTAGATTTGCTCCTAGAGCGTTGTAGCGGTGCCGAAAAAATGTCGGCGTGGGAACCGTCTCGTCAAGAGCTTGCTAAGAACCCATGTGCTGCGTTCTTCATGTTGTCTGTTGTTGGTGTATTGATCGTCGGCCGTACTTGGTTGGGTATTCGGGTGTGTCTCCGAGAATCAAGCAATGTCTGAACATGCATCATCCTCTCGTACTTCTCTTTGTCAATGTACCGGTAGCTTTGCCTTTTGTCTATGATCTGGGTACCAAACTAAGCCTCGCCGTAGTTGTCATCACTTGCGGCCATGTCTGTTTTCAATCGCCACACGGCACCAAACGTCCAGAACATCTAGCGCGCTACGACCACACCCAATCACAGCACGAAACAATCCAGTCACCCACAGCGTTAGTTCCTGCCAGTCCTACGGTACACAGCAGCCCGATGCTCACGAACATGGAACTATCTTATTGAGACTGCTGTCACCCCCCGGCGAAAGAAGCTATCGCTGGTACGGTTTTCTAGGATAACCAAAGGCACTCGTGTGAACGACTTGTCGGCATTAGTACTCGTTTCCGGTTATAAGAGAGGCGGATTTGTTCACTTTTTTTACGGCACCCTCCTGGACACAGAGAGAAGCCAACAATCATGGAACGTGCCGCATGGGGAATGAGAGAGTTCCACCCGAGCAGGAACAGCGTCCATTAAAAATGCCTGTCGGCAAAGCTTGTTGCTTTTAGCTTCGCCTTGGGGGCGTCAGCGCTTCGAAGCACGGATGCATAATGCAAGCTCGGTTGTGGGTGCGGTCACGTTTGGGCGCCCACGTACGTACCCGCTCTTTCCGTGAGGCGACTCTCAGCACGAATGGGAGAGGGAGGGAATACCCGCCGAAACACTCAGAAATACGGCACGGAGATTGAATACATCTTCTCTCACATGTATATTGCCCCCTACAAACTCTGGTGTGGCCAACCCGGCGACGCTGAAAGCGTTATCTTCTCAGACGCGGGAGGTCCATCTACCCGTGGTAGATGGGTTTTCAGTCCTCTCTCGGGTTCTGGGAAACATCAGTCCGGTCCTGTACTTCCGCGCCAGAGGAAGGAGGTGGCGGGGGGNGGGGGGGGGGGGGGGGGGGGGGGGGGGGGGGGGGGGGGGGGGGGGGGGGGGATACTCGAGAGGCCGCCGCGGGGTGAAATCCTTTGTCCGCATACACGGTCCGCATACATACACGAAAGGAGTTTCGACAGGAGGCGTGGTGTGTATACTCCTTGAACTAATTACCGTGGACCTGACCCTTACCGTGTTGTCTTGGCCTTCTGTGTATTGTTAGATATCGCACGGCGGCGGTGCCCCACCAGACGGCTGAGAATATTCACCGCTCGGACGTCCACGTAGCAGCGGCAGCAGTTGGTAGGATAGGATTTGATGTTTATCCTGCGTTGTTTTTTTGCCTGTCATTTCTGCTGACTCACGCTACTACTGTTCCTGTTTCACTCGTACCACCCTCCCGCCATCCCGATCGATACCGACGGTATCTTTGTTTATCTACGGTGTCTACGATCCTACGGTATCTACGGTACGCACCATGTCCATCATGACCGACCGACAATCCCCAAACCCGAAGAATCGGTGATGGCGCTCCGCCAAGAAGGTCGACCCCGATCACTCGCCTGGCGCAGGGATACGAAACCTCCGCTTTCAAGCGGTAAGGGCTGCTGTAGAGGCTTGTTGCTTCTACCCACATCACCGGTGGGGGGGGGGTGTACTCACAGTCGTTCATGCCGTAGTCGTTAGACCGTTGACCTCGCATCCCTACAAAGCCCGGACGGAGCACGCCGGGTTCTCACCGGACCAGGCTCTCACATCCCCAAGCGCGAAGCGCCGTGAGGTGTTCGGCGAGTCGTATGAAGGGTGCGCGGCATCCTGCCAAGGGTGTTCGGCATCATGTGCTTACTTCCTTGCGTACGGATGACAGCTGCGTATGCCTTATTTTATTTTCTGGTGCTTTCACTTCCAGAGACAGTTGTAAGCACTGTGTAACTGCCTCGAGGGTGCTTGACCATTTTCACACAACGTGGTGCGATCATCCCCCTTGCGCAGAGTGAGGATTGTCCACCCCGCACAACATGATCTACTCGACCACCATTATGGTTTCCGCCAAAAAAAACGGTAACCTGGTTGCCTAGTTCACGAAGTGAACTGGCTTATCTTACAACGTCGTTGCCAAGCGACGAAAACCCAACCCCGATGGCAAACACCGGGGGGGAGGAGAGGGGGGGGAACAGGGGGGGTCGTAGAGGTTGGGTTGGGGAGGGCGGGACACGGCTCGGAGCTAGTTTTCGAAAGTCGGGACTCACGCTGGTTGCGTCTATCTTCGCCCTGTGGAGTTTGAAAACCGTCGACACAGGTGTGTGCGTCTATTTCGTGCGTCTATTTCGTGCGTCTTGTTCTTGTCGTCGAACGTACAACTCCGAGGTGTGGGCAGCGAGCGAGCTGCCTGTACCGAGTTTCGTTTGTGCGACATTTCGTATTTCCGCCGCGGTGCGCCCATTTTTCTAGCGTGCGTAAGGGGTTCCGTGCCCCGGTTCGGTCCGGCCCGTGTGTGTGTTGTGTGTGTGTTCGGAGCGTGCTTTCGGAGCGTGTTTTCGGAAAATCTTCTTCGTTGCGACCCGCCGCCGGGGAAGAGGGGTTGGTTTTGTGCGCTGCTGCTGCTGCTGCTGCTGCTGCTGCTGCTGCGGACCTCATCGTCGTATGTAGGATGCGGTATGCATGCATGCCGGCGAAAGGTTGTCGTGGCTTTTGCGGAAACGGACAGACGGGCGGACGGACGGACGGACGGACGGACGGACGGACGGACGGACGGACAGACGGACGGACGGACGGACGGGGCGTCAGACGAACATCGAGCGCGGTGAACGGTCAACAAACCCCGGGACGGACGCACGACGACTCGGTTGCGTATTATTTTTCTTTTTTTTCGCCACGGCCGCGCGAAAAAAAACACGACGGCCTCGACCCGGTTGAAGGACGTTCTAGAACGTGGCGGGCAACGCCAGCAGCAGCGATGCCGCCGATGCCACCGATGCCACCGTCGCGGCGGGCGTGACCAATCCGCCCGGCGATGGACCAAAGTGCGAGCAAACGCCTACTTGCCTTAATTCGTTACCCGGCAAGAGCGTTACGCGCTCGACCGCGACTGCCTCCGACGCGACGCGACTGCACCCGGTGGCTGTCGCGGCCTGGTTCCGGTTCGGGCGGTTTTGATATTTGCGCGGACGGCGGGGGTGCGGAGGCCAGTTCGCGTCTGTTTCGACCAACACGATGATTTGTTCGATGGGTTGCAGTGAACATGCCATCACGCTCGTCCGTGTCGCTTCACCAACCCTGTGGCCTTAACTACCCACGAACAAGCTAATTCGGCTTGTCAACCTCGGTCTGCCTGTCTCTCTCCCTCTCCCCAACTCTTCCTGTCTCTCACTTCCCCCCCCCCCTTTTCTCTCCCTCTCTCGAAAGGTACTTCCGAAAGTGGAACCCTCAGCCGGTCCCGTCGTGGGAAGACACCCCGACGTCGTCCAAGAGCCCGGGTCTGTCAACTCCAGCGGCGGCGATGTCGGAGGCCGATTCCGCCGCGATCGCAAAGGGAATGCTGGACTCGTCTTCGGTAAGACCAAGACCGCCCCCGAGATGGCGGACGTATGCATGCCGTTGCTTTTGCGATGTGACACCCCCCGACCTGTTATTCGTCTTGCCGTTTGGATTGGCTGACCCCCCCCCCCCCGCCCCCCCGACG